ATATATATATATATGGGGCCCTGAAGTTGCTTAGGAGTTATTTTGGTGTAGGAGATTAGCTTTGTCAGACTACCAAGACACTTATAGAACATTACAGTGGGATTACTTGCTTTATATTTTCTTTACGAATCATATGTGACTGCTGGCATTTGAAAGAGAAATAAACGCCTAAGCTTGAGAGAGGGTCTCAATGGGGTGTTGGCTTTTACGGTTATCGGCTAAAATTTTGGCTCGTTTACGGCTATCGGTTAATTTTTTTCAGTTACGGTTAACGAAAAAGTTAAAAATTAACTTTTTTTGTTTCACAAAGTTAAATATTAATTAACCCGTATTTTTTGGTATCTTTAAATCAAAATAAAGATCTTCGGATCATCTCGGGATGAAATAAGCTATTCTTTTGAAAAAATTTAACATTTGATAGATCATACTTTTTATAAAGTATTCCACTTCTAATATTAGTTTACACATAGAAATGTCAATAGTCAATTTCAAAATAATCTTTGTGAAAAACCAAAAGCAGACACGCAAACGCCCAATTCAAGGCCGGGGCGCGACATTCATTATAACAGAAATGGCCGTTTTCACACTAGGGAAGGATTATTATTCGTGTGAGACGGGTTATCCGTTTGATGATTCGCGTCAGATAGATAATACGTCTCAATTTGAAAATGGAATAGTTTTAATTTTGAATGAACAATCCCCCTGACTTTTAAAGACGGGATTATCCGTTCCAGATAGCCTGTCTACAGCCGCCCCCACCCCTCATAAAAAATCGGAGAAGGAGTGTATGTGGGGAGGGCGCAACTGTACACAGGCTAGTCTCAGACGGATGATCCATTTTTAGCTCTAGTGTGAAAACGGCCAATAACAAAATTCCCGTGTCCAGTGTTTTTAATGATAGCGAAGGACTGTACGGAACGACTGCCTGCCGTTGCTTGTCCGTAGGCCGCATTATGCCGCGCGGCTAATGCGTTTCGGGTCACGTGGTCCGAGCGAGTTCTCCACCGAAATGCCTTGACCAAGACTGCGTTTTGCAAACAATGAGATCTCTGCGTGTTGTATCACTAGTGTTTCGAGGGCACGACCTCCAGAAAATTGCAAATATTAATCCCCAGCAAGAAGCCACACTTTCGCTATGGAAAAAATTAGTTTCCCGAGACAGCGCCGGAAATCGAGTCTACATGTTTTTGGTTAACACCTAAAAGGCGCTTCGCCTACCGTGCGTACGGAGTCACACTAGCCGGGAAATAAAAAACGCACCCATAAGTGAGTTTAGCACCTTGAAGTTCCTTAAAAGTAGCAAATCTAGGTAACAATTTCTTTTACGGTCAACTCTTTTTTACCCTATTTACGGCTAACGGTTAAAATTTTTAGATTTTTACGGCTATCGACTAAATTTTTGGCCGTTTTACGCCTATTGGTTAACCCCATTGAGACCCTCCTTGAGACGGCTTTTAGACTTAATTCTGTTGTATGGTCTATCCCGGATTGTAGCGAATCCGTGAAATGGCTGTGTACATGTAACTTTAAATGTTTTGGTAAAAAAAAAAAAAACGTTGAACTGGGTACTAGAAATGTCTCTTATAATCTGGTGTCTTACTGAGTAGTGTAGGAGCTGCTCCCTCTTAATTGGGGGCAGGGAACAATGACATGTCATTCTTTCAATTGTTTAGGGTCAGGGTTAGGCACTATTGGTCGCCTTGCCCAACACTAGTGGGTATTGACTCACCGACTAGTCTAAAGTAATATGACGGTTGTTTAATATGAGCCGTCACGGTGATTCACTTTTTCTCAAAGCTCAGATACAAGAAATTCGCAACAAAAGACCTTTCATACCAGTTTTTGTACAGTATCCAGCTCTCCAGTTTTTGCTGCTTTGAACAACAATCGCTGACATTGCAGTGTAGTACCTGGAAAAATCTGATACAGAAACCTAAAGGCAAAAGAAAACGACAAGTTTGTTTCGCGTTCGCAACTTTATCTAGGAGAAACTTAGTTTACAAAACTTTCCAATAATTCGTATAATTTTTTTCAAAAGTCCTGGGTAACAGAAGCTCGAGTAAAATTGGCAAACGATGAATATCGCCACCCATATATAGTTAAGCACAAAATCATTGACAAACTATCGGCCTCATGGGCTATTGACTCAGAGCCCATTCGGGCTTGAGGAATAATTGTCAAATAGTCTGCGCAGAAATCCATTTACATTAATACAGTTGTAGGCTAAAAAGAAATTTCAGAACAAGCACTGTTTTGATTTAGTTCATCTTTCCATTTGAGCTATGTATCTGAAAGCGTCACAGGAATACCACGCAGTAGCTTTGCACAATCTGTATGGCTGCTATCAGACGTGGGAGGGGGATTCATTCTTGCTCATGCAAGATGTAAAATACATGTCTGTTCACGTTCGTTGACAGGAATTAAGGTAAAATAATATACCACGATCCGGCCTTCAACGTGTTATTTCATTTGATAATAAGAAAGATAACATATGATGTGATTAGTAGATACCCTGGTCGACCATAAGGTTGTACTTGTCGCGCGGTTTGCAAAGTATCGTGTAATGTGGCGCGTAATGTTTCGTTAACCATACCAAACTTCAAGCAATGCAACCACTCGGCAAACCTCTCTACTTAGGAGGTACAGTGAACTCTTAATATACAGACACCTCGCTAAAATGGATACCTAGAGTTGGTCCCTGCCCTTGCTTCTTTGCTCTTTTTATTTAACTCTCTATAAGACGGACATATCTCCAAAGATCGTGCCAAAGATGTGCGTCTTAGAGAAAGAAAGAGCCTGCAAAGGTACTCGATAACTGACAAGTATCTATTATGACGCGAGAACGGCCCTGTATAGCGTCAATAATCGAATATGAGGTGGATGTGACAAGTTATTTTAGAAAATCAGGTACCTCATATTTGGAATGGTCACCGCTTATCTCAACAACTTGTTTACCTTCCAAGCCCAGCATTTGTTGGACAATTTCTAAAGTGGGCGAAAAATCACCGTGATAAAAAAGAAAAAAAACTCTTATATCCAACGCAAAGTAAATCTAGCTTTACCTTTCTGATCGGCGAAATCATCGAAAAATTCCCCTGTTATAACAAAAGCATAAAATTACTTAGCAAATATAACTTTAAGAACAACACAAAAAGTTAGAAGCCACTGTCTGCCTTGGTTTTGAAACGTTATTTCTGAATACCCAGAAGGAGGTATATACGACACATACAAATCGCAGTTGAAGAATAGTCCGTTTCTCCAAAGATAATAGACCTTGTCACGGTTTTCGACGCCATCTTGACGAGTAGGCAAAAGCATCCCAACACCTAAGGCGCGCACGAAGATGTCGGGTATCGTAAACAAGGTCTATTCAAACGCTACACATTTAACTCACACGATATGACCTGATACTGGCAAGCCCACGTTACATTGTGTATCGCTGTAAATCTATCCACTACGGGCTCTGCTAGATTGGACTAACATCATACGAGCCCGAGAGAATTGCACGGGGTACTCCTATAAAACTCAAGTCATGTAGATTCAGCTGTAAATTATTTTTCAAGTTTTTGAGTAAATATTAAGCCTCCTGTTTGCTAACGCGCTGACGTGTTCATAAGTCATGCATCCACCCATACTTCAGACTGATCCACCGCTGAAGTCGCCGGTTCGACGGTGTACTTGTTCTGTGCGTGCACAGTAGCATTTCTCTTTATGGTGATAACACTTCCATGGGAAGCCAGCACTCGTATCTTTTCTAAGTGATTTCGGTGGACGGGCTCCTCAATCAGAAAACCGTTATCAACATGATATTCTGTAAAGAGAAAACTTTTCAATTAGTACTGGTCTCTATGCGCATTGCACAAGTAATCCGGTCCTTTTCAATGCGCCCGTACCTCCAGATCGCCCAGGCTTTCGGTAAACATTGACAACTCCATGGGTTGGCACCCATATTTTGAGTATTTCGTATTTTTTTGCCTCCATACCATCCATAGGATCTTAACTGTAAACTTCAAAGAAGCGAAATAACATCAGAATAGTGAAAATAACATCCATGGATGACCGATCATGCACAGACTGTTAGGTCTGAATTACTGGTGGACACATGACGACCAATGATTGACATCACCAGCAGAGCGTTTTGTTTGGGTCAAAGAGGTCCAAAATTTACCGTGAGTTAGAAGAGACCTTCAAACCCTAATCCTGTTTAAGGTCGTTTAAGACAAAACATTGTTCATTTCCCTACCCTGTTTAAGATCAGACCTTTTTTATTACTTTGATACGTTTAAACCTCGGACGTACACGCCGTCATACTCCTACCGTAGTACAAGTGAGGGGTGGGGTGGGGGGGCTTGGGGGTGTTGGCGGGGTGATGGAGCCCCCTTCGAGTTTTTAATACGTTGCAGTATTTCAAAAGAATTTTATACCTTCAGTGGAAAGCCTTTGATCTTCTCGACAAGATGGGGTTATATAATACTCTATGGGTGTTGGCCCTGCTGGCATCCTGGATTTTACTCAGAACGAGCATCAGGTTATAAAAAGGAGAGAATTGGTATTTTTTGGTGCTTGACATATAGACTAACATATAAATAAGTACTTTGCTTCATTTTATCCACAAGCTTTATCTTTTTACCCTGAAACACGTAGAAAAACATGCATTTAAAAAATGGCTTGAACACCTACTACATATGACGTCATATCTCGTAAGCAAGTAACTGATCATCACAAAGCTTGTCTCAAAATGCGTACGAGAATTATACAAACAGCTACTGAAGAAAACGCCAGGAGCTGATGTTTAATCGTTCAGGACGGAAAAACCTCAGAAAAACCCCAGGGGGCCGGCGAGTGGCATCCATCCCTCCTTGTCCTAGGGTTAAGTATGATTTTCAAACTAAATTGCTGGCACCACCAATGCAGACCTCTCATCGCCATCCCTCACACTCATGTTTTAAAGGCTTCTGGTCGAAACAGACACCCTTTTCAAGACCCTAAATTGTGAAATAGAATACCCTGATAAAGACTCAAGACGCTGAAAACCATATATACCTAGTTCAGGGGCACATTACCGTTTAGGCCGCCAAAAGGGAGTGCTTTCCCGAGCAAAACTCTGTCTTAAAGCCGCACACCCTTGGGACATGCACTCTGGATGCATCATAGCGAAACGTCCGTCTTGCAATGACACTACATATACTTAAAAAGAGGAAGGAATGACAGGGACTTACTGTGGCGTTGTAGCGAGATGTAAGTCTTACGGAGATGTCCGATACTGTAAGGAGACAGATTTGACCACAGGCGGCCCAGACGTAGTATGTGTCACTGAATGAATATATTAATATTCACATGGACAAATTAATGCGCCTCCAATGAACTAAAATAGTCAAAAAGTCAAAATATAACAAAACAAAGCTAAGATACCTTTAACTGAACGTATCCTTGTCTTTCCTGGCCGGTTAAAGTGGCATTTTGTTGAGTTTTGCAATTACAATTGCAAAACTCAACAAAATGCCACTTTAACCGGCCAGGAAAGACAAGGATACGTTCAGTTAAAGGTATCTTAGCTTTGTTTTGTTATATTTTGACTTTTTGACTATTTTAGTTCATTGGAGTTTCGACGACTCATCGCATTAATTTGTCCATGTGAATATTAATATATTCATTCAGTGACACATACTACGTCTGGGCCGCCTGTGATTTGACCTGCGACTCTTTGACGTTTGTACCTCTTTATATTTTCGGTACATTACTTGACTCACCATTGGATTTGGAGGTGCAAGAGTAAGGCTATAGCTCTCTCGCAATATCCTTTTGGTGGTTCCAAAGATTTAGAAATGTAGTGTTCGTAAGAACGTATGTGAAATGGGTAAAATTTTTAATGGGTGCGAAAGAGTACTTTTTCTGTTACAAATAGTACATATAACTAGAAGGGGAGTAACATTTAATAGAATATTAAAATAATGGGGGCTTGGACCTCTGGCAGTCTGGCATCTAGGTTATGGACTCGCTGTATAAATTGCCCGTGATCCTCCCTCTCGGGAATGAGGGAAAGACGATCAACTCTGGAAAGCAAAATACAGATTTGGAGGAGAAGATCTAGATGCTCCAGTCCATGAATGCAAAATATCTCGCTTCTGGACTAAATTGAGCTGAACTCTGGCTCGATTTTTCTCTTTTTAACAATCGGTTTGTAAAATGTAAGAAAACAACAAGCAGCTCTGGTCCGTGTTATTGATGCTGGAGATCTTTACATCTAATTTGGCAAGAATATAAAAAATAAAATTCTCGATATTTTTGCTGTTACTTTATAGGCCTGAATGTGTGTAGTTGTGAGTTGTTTCTTTGTTAAGACGGCGCCGTTTTATATAATTCAATGAAATTTGGATGTCAATTGGAAGTTTTAAAACACAGGCGAAAAAAATAGAGAAAGGCAAAATAAAACAAAAGGAATGACAGATAACAATGGAAAGGCAAAATGCGACGTCGCGTTACCATGGTAGCAAAATTTTTGGAACTCAACAATCTTTCTTGACAGAAAAGGCCATTTGCACTGTCGAACAATGGAAGAAAAGTTTGGGGCACAGGAAAGTCATATGTAACAATTTTTTTCGTTTTTTTTTTTTGCCATATTTGCAGGACCACGGTTTCTTAAGATCCAGGATTTTTCATCTACAGCCACTTAAAAACATATTAGACAGGAGGTGAAAAGAATAACTTCGTAATTCACTGTCGAATTGTTTGCTTTCTCCAGTCATAACGACCGACTTTGCCAGAACCCTTTCCAGCTCTGCAAGCCTGTTCATGAAGCTTGGCCTTCCAGCCCTTCAGCGAACGAGTTGAACTTGTTTCACTCATCGGTCCTTTTTTATTGGTGGCAACATTAGGGGCACGTGACCAGTACCGATTCCCGGCAAAGCAGGCTGGGATCTCTGTGACGTAGAAGCTGGGAGCTGGTTCTTTACTTTCTTGGTTATGGCTCGTACCAGGTCTCTAGCGTGTTTGAGGCTATAGGCTAAAGGAAAAAAAAGGTTTTCTTGTTTTAGTATAGACATTGAGAGAGATATATATTGATATATAGAGTATAGATTTCGACCATGAAAGTTAAAAATCTTGCCAAATACCCAGTTAGTTCATTACTTCTCTGTATAGAGCGTTTTCACATGACGTCATGGGCGGCCATATGAGCGTTTCAAACCAGCGAAACGGAGGCCATGTTGGCGTTCCAAGCCAGTCTCGTGGGAATTAAATTCTTTTTCTATGAAAACTCTTTCTTTAGTTCCAATAAAATTGGAAGGAAGCTGGGCACAAGAAAGAAAGCATTCCGCCCCTAAAAAAGAAACGGAGATTCTCCAAACTCTTCCTTGTCTTTTTCCGTTTGCTGTTCCCACGTAAACAACTCGATAATGACCCATTGAAATAATAAAAAAGCAAGACACAAGTGCAGAGAAAGTTTGATGACTGGTTTTTCCAAACTCAAGCGTTCGTGTATCGACGGTTTACCTTTCAATCGGGCTTTTATCTCTTCATTAAAGTAACCGCATTCAATCCACTCCTCAAAATGAGAAATAAAATCAAAGGCTGTCAGCCCTGTAAGATAATGAACAAACATAAGCAAACAGGTGACAAGTTCAATAAGAACTCTTCTTATATGGCTAAATCCGCGCGCGAGCAAGATGAAGCGAATCCTTCATTTAAGGTTGTACTTGTCGCGCGGTTTGCAAAGTATCGTGTAATGTGGCGCGTAATGTTTCGTTAACCATACCAAACTTCAAGCAATGCAACCACTCGGCAAACCTCTCTACTTAGGAGGTACAGTGAACTCTTAATATACAGACACCTCGCTAAAATGGATACCTAGAGTTGGTCCCTGCCCTTGCTTCTTTGCTCTTTTTATTTAACTCTCTATAAGACGGACATATCTCCAAAGATCGTGCCAAAGATGTGCGTCTTAGAGAAAGAAAGAGCCTGCAAAGGTACTCGATAACTGACAAGTATCTATTATGACGCGAGAACGGCCCTGTATAGCGTCAATAATCGAATATGAGGTGGATGTGACAAGTTATTTTAGAAAATCAGGTACCTCATATTTGGAATGGTCACCGCTTATCTCAACAACTTGTTTACCTTCCAAGCCCAGCATTTGTTGGACAATTTCTAAAGTGGGCGAAAAATCACCGTGATAAAAAAGAAAAAAAACTCTTATATCCAACGCAAAGTAAATCTAGCTTTACCTTTCTGATCGGCGAAATCATCGAAAAATTCCCCTGTTATAACAAAAGCATAAAATTTCTTAGCAAATATAACTTTAAGAAGAACACAAAAAGTTAGAAGCCACTGTCTGCCTTGGTTTTGAAACGTTATTTCTGAATACCCAGAAGGAGGTATATACGACACATACAAATCGCAGTTGGAGAATAGTCCGTTTCTCCAAAGATAATAGACCTTGTCACGGTTTTCGACGCCATCTTGACGAGTAGGCAAAAGCATCCCAACACCTAAGGCGCGCACGAAGATGTCGGGTATCGTAAACAAGGTCTATTCAAACGCTACACATTTATCTCACACGATATGTCCTGATACTGGCAAGCCCACGTTACATTGTGTATCGCTGTAAATCTATCCACTACGGGCTCTGCTAGATTGGACTAACATCATACGAGCCCGAGAGAATTGCACGGGGTACTCCTATAAAACTCAAGTCATGTAGATTCAGCTGTAAATTATTTTTCAAGTTTTTGAGTAAATATTAAGCCTCCTGTTTGCTAACGCGCTGACGTGTTCATAAGTCATGCATCCACCCATACTTCAGACTGATCCACCGCTAAAGTCGCCGGTTCGACGGTGTACTTGTTCTGTCCGTGCACAGTAGCATTTCTCTTTATGGTGATAACACTTCCATGGGAAGCCAGCACTCGTATCTTCTCTAAGTGATGTCGATGGTCGGGCTTCTCAATCAGAAAACCGTTATCAACATGATATTCTGTAAAGAGAAAACTTTTCAATTAGTACTGGTCTCCATGCGCATTGCATAATTAATCCTTCTAATGCGCCCGTACCTCCAGGTCGCCCAGGCTTTCGGTAAACATTGACAACTCCATGGGTTGGCACCCACATTTTGAGTATTTCGTATCTTTTTGCCTCCATACCATCCATAGGATCTTAACTGTAAGCTTCAAAGAAGCGAAATAACATCAGAATAGTGAAAGTAACATTGATGCATGACCGATCATGCACGGTATGTTGAGTCTGAATCGGTGATCACATGACGACCAATGATTGACATCACCAGCAGAGCGTTTCGTTTGAGTCCCAGAGGTCCAAAATTTACCGTGGGTTAAAACGAGACCTTCAAACCCTAACCCTGTTTAAAGTTGTTTAAGACAAAACATATTTCATTTCCCTAACCTGTTTAAGAAGAGACCTGATTTATTATGTTATTTCTGACGAATGAGCCCGCGAAGAAGACAGAAATAAATATTTTGACGGCACGAGATACAACAGGGCCTGGGTACTAGGCCGGGTGCACCATGGGTAGCCATATCGGAGGTATATAAGGCTGCGTATATCACGTGTACGTCATCTTGGCTTACGAACCACCCTCTCTTTGGTTTTTCTTTATTTTTGTTTTATTTATTTTTAGGAGCAACATATTCTCGATGACATTGTAAAGTCCCGTAGGAAGGGCTTTGAGCTTGAGCCTTGGTTCCTACCCAGATTTCCTGCCCGCATTTTTTCCCTTCGGGGTTTTTTTGGGCAGGTTTTTTCTGGCCTCCGTCTGACCGCATTTACTTCAGTTTGTAAGCGGTAGCTCAGCTCTGCTAGTTTTCAGTTTTTTCCCGTTTCTTATTTTATGTACTTGTACAGTTATCTCAGTTTTGCACCTGCTCCTTTACTTGATATATTTAGTTTCTATGTATGTCTAGGTCAGCTGTCCCGGAACCGCTCTTTAGGAGGCGACATAAGTCTCGTTTGATGCAGTTAGGTTGCAGGCAATGTTACAGACTTCTAGCCAGGGTCGTTATCCATTTGTTTACTTTCAATGTCCTGCCCTAGCCTTTTATGGCAGCCTTACTGGTTATTGGGCTACGTGCCTTGTTGGGTACATTAGTGGAGATAATTCCCAGTTTTCCTGGCACTCAGCCTCTGTGCTCCTGAAGTGTTCCCGGTCCCAGTTATCCGTTGATCAGAGTTTTATTAAATTTCCCCAGCCTAACTGGCAGCCTAACTGGCACTAAGCCTGCGTGCTTCTTTGGGGGACTCAGGTCGAGATCGACCAGTTGTAGCAGATCTCTCTTTTGCTTAGCCTCTGTGCTCCTGCCGTGTTCCCTGTGCCAGTTATGCGTTGTCAGAGTTTTATTAATTAGTTTCCCCAGCCTAACTGGCACTAAGCCTGCGTGCTTATTTGGGGGATTTAGGTCGAGATCGACCAGTTATAGCAGTTTTTCTTTTTGCTTAGCCTCTGTGCTCCTACCGTGTTCCCTGTGCCAGCTATATGTTGTCAGAGTTTTATTAATTAGTTTCCCCAGAATAACTGGCAGCCTAACTGGCACTAAGCCTGCGTGCTTAACTGGGTGATTCAGGTCAAGAGCGACCATTTGTAGCACGAGTTTTTTCTTTTTGTGAAAGCTAGTTTACGAGTGTTGTACATTAGGTATTCACCTGTAATAACCTATTATTGTATTTACATAAGTACTTTGTAGGGTTGGTTCTCGCCAAGCCGTCCCAAAATAAACTTATTTGCCATTACGTTTTGTCTGTTAATGTTGTGTAGTGGAGTCAAAATACTCTGATTCGTTTAAACCTCGGACGTACACGCAGTCATACCCCCACCGAAGTGAGGAGGGGGGGGGGGAGGAGGGGCGGTGATGGAGCCCCCTTCGAGTTTTTGATACGTTGCAGTGTTTCAAAAAGATTTTATACCTTCAGTGGAAAGCCTTTGATCTTCTAGACAAGATGGAGGTATATAATACTTTATGGGTGTTGGCCCTGCTGGCATCCTGGATGTTACCCAGAACAAGCATCAGGTTACAAAATGGAGAGAATTGGAACTTTTTTTGTGCTTGAAATGTAGACTAACTTATAAATAAGTACTTTGCTTCATTTTATCCACAAGCTTTATCTTTTTACCTTGAAACACGTAGAAAAACATGCATTTAAAAAATGGCTTGAACACCTACCACTTACGACGTCATATCTCGTAAGCAAGTAACTGATCGTCGCAAAGCTTGTCTCAATATGCGTACGAGAATTATACAAACAGCTGCTGAAGAAAACGCCAGGAGCTGATGTTTAATCGTTCAGGACGGAAAAACTCAGAAAACCCCCAGGGGGCCGGGGAGTAGCATCCATCCCTCCTCGTCCAAGGGTTAAGTATGATTTTCAAACTAAATTGCTGGCAGCACAAATGCAGACCTCTTATCGCCATCCCTCACACTCATGTTTTAAAGTCTTCTGCTCGAAACAGATAACCTTTTCATGACGCTAAATTCTGAAATAGAATACCCTGGTAAAGACTCAAAACCCTGAAAACCATATATACCCAGTTCAGGGGCACATTCCCATTTAGGCCGCCGAAAGGGAGCGCTTTCCCCAGTAAAAAGCTGTCTTAAAGCCGCACACCCTTGGTACGTGCACTCTTTGTGCATCTTAGAGAAACGTCCGTCTTGTAATGACGCTACTTAAAAAGAGGAACGAATGACAGGGACTAACTGTGGCGTTTTAGCGAGATGTAAGTTTTACGGAGATGTCCGATACCGTAAGGAGAGAGATTTGACCGGCGACTCTTTGACGTTTGTACCTCTTTATATTTTCGGTACATTACTTAACTCACCATTGGATTTGGAGGTGCAAGATAGCTCTCTCGCAATATCCTTTTAGTGGTTCCAAAGATTTAGAAATGTAGTAGTCGTAAGAACTTATGTGAAATGGGTAAAATTTTTAATGGGTGCGAAAGATTACTTTTTGTGTTACAAATAGTATATTAAAGTAGAAGGAGAGTAAAATTTAATAGAATATTAAAATAGTGAGGGCTTGGACCTCTGGCAGTCTGGCATCTAGGTTATGGACTCGCTGTATAAAATGTCCGTGATCCTCTCTCTCGGGAATGAGGGAAAGACGATCAACTCTGGAAAGCAAAATACAGATTTGGAGGAGAAGATCTGCATGCTTCAGTCCCTGAATGCAAAATATTTCGCTTCTGGACTAAATTGAGCCTAACTGGATTTTTCTCTTTTTAATAATCGGTTTTTAAAATGTAAAAAAATAACAAGCAGCTCTGGTCTGTGTTATTGATACTGGAGATCTTTACATCTAATTTGGCAAGAACATAAAAAATAAAATTCTCGATCTTTTTGCCTTTACTTTATGGGCCTGACTGTGTGTAGTTGTGAGTTGTTTCTTTCTTAAGATGGCGCCGTTTTATATAATTCAATGAAATTTGGATGTCAATCGGAAGTTTTAAAACACATGCGAAAAAACAGAGAAAGGCAAAATAAAACAAAAGGAATGACAGATAACAATGGAAAGGCAAAATGCGACGTCACGTTACCATGGTAGCAAAATTTCTGGAACTCAACAATCTTTCTTGACAGAAAGGCCATTTGCACTGTCGAACAAGGAAAGAAAAGTTTGGAGTACAGGAAAGTCATATGTAACAATTTTTTTCGTTTTTTTTTTGCCATATTTGCAGGACCACGGTTTCTTAAGATCCAGGATTTTTCATCTACAGCCAGTTAAAAACATATTAGACAGGAGGCGAGAAGAATAACTTCATAATTCACTGACGAATTGTTTGCTTTCTCCAGTCATAACGATCGACTTTGCCAAAACCCTTTCCAGCTCTGCAAGCCTGTTCAGGAAGCTTGGCCCTCCAGCCCTGGAGCGAACGAGTTGAACTTGTTTCACTCATCGATCCTTTTTTATTGGTGGCAACATGAGGGGCACGTGACCAGTACCGATTCCCGGCAAAGCAGGCTGGGATTTGGGGTGTGACGTAGAAGCTGGGAGCTGGTTCTTGACTTTCTTGGTTATGGCTCGTACCAGGTCTCTAGCGTGTTTGAGGCTATAGGCTATAAGAAAAAAAAAAATGTTTTCTTGTTTTAGTATAGACATTGAGAGAGCTATATATTGATTTCGACCAAGAAAGTTAAAAATCTTGCCAAAACCCAGTTAGTTCATTACTTCTCGGTGTAGAGCGTTTTCACATGACTTCATGGGCGGCCATATGACTGTTTTAAACCAACGACACGGAGGCCATGTTGGCGTTCCAAGCCAGTCTCGTGGGAATTTAACTCTTTTCTTATGAAAACTCTTTCGTTAGTTCCAATAAATTTGCATGGATGCTGGGCACAAGAAAGAAAGCATTCCGCCCCTAAAAAGAAACGGAGATTCTCCGAACTCTTCCTTGTCTTTTTCCGTTTGCTGTTCCCACGTAAACAACTCGATAATGACCCATTGAAATAATAAAAAAGTAAGACACAAGTGCAGAGAAAGTTTTGTGACCGGTTTTTCCAAACTCAAGCGTTCGTGTATCGACGGTTTACCTTTCAATCGGGCTTTGATCTCTTCATTAAAGTAACCGCATTCAATCCACTCCTCAAAATCAGAAATAAAATCAAAGGCTGTCAGCCCTGTAAGATAATGAACAAACATAAGCAAACAGGTGACAAGTTCAATAAGAACTCTTCTTATATGGCTAAATCCGCGCGCGAGCAAGATGAAGCGAATCCTTCATTNAAAGAAAGCATTCCGCCCCTAAAAAAGAAACGGAGATTCTCCAAACTCTTCCTTGTCTTTTTCCGTTTGCTGTTCCCACGTAAACAACTCGATAATGACCCATTGAAATAATAAAAAAGCAAGACACAAGTGCAGAGAAAGTTTGATGACTGGTTTTTCCAAACTCAAGCGTTCGTGTATCGACGGTTTACCTTTCAATCGGGCTTTTATCTCTTCATTAAAGTAACCGCATTCAATCCACTCCTCAAAATGAGAAATAAAATCAAAGGCTGTCAGCCCTGTAAGATAATGAACAAACATAAGCAAACAGGTGACAAGTTCAATAAGAACTCTTCTTATATGGCTAAATCCGCGCGCGAGCAAGATGAAGCGAATCCTTCATTCCGATTGGCTACCCGAACGGGCAAGATACTCGGAATTTCCCGCGTTGGTCTCTAAGTTAACGTTCTCTTTTTGGCCAATGTTGTTCGGTCAAGATGGCTGACTTTGTCTAGGCCCGATTTCCACCGCTCTCTCGGGCCTCCCCGAGAAGAGACGGGCCCGGGCCGTCTGTTCGGGGGAGGAGCGCGGGCTCATTTCCCCAACAGCGGCTTGTAATAGAGCCTAGACTTTCTCTCGGTCAATAAAAGCGCAACAAAGAACTTGGCCAATATGTAGCCATCTTGACCAAACAAGCTTGGTCAATAATGCAGACATAACACAAAGGTGTTTACGACTTCTAAACTAAGATAAAGAAACACGCTTTTACCGTACCTTTGTAGATTTCGTAACCGCACATTAGCTCCTGTTTGCAAAAAAGAAAAAATATATATTGCCTTGAAATGAAATGCGTAATACTTAAAAATGATCCAAACTCGTTCCCAGGGCCCTTTGCTATTCGACCCTGGAAACGAGGTTGACAATAATCGCTTAATTGACTGAATGAAAGATTGGTAACCAATCATGGCACTGAGGGATCAAAATGGCCTCGATTTTTGTATTTGTAGTTCAAGTCCATTATGCAACATGGACTATAGAAAATGGCGGTGCTATGGAAAGGCATTTTCAAATTGCAAAACACTGCTACAATAAAGTCAAAGTTAAAGTCAACTTTACTTAGGCAGGGAAGCCCTATCAGCCATTGGCTCGTATCAAAAGGGGCCCTGCAATACAGGTGTTTCGTCTTATTCATAGACCACGTGTAGCCTCTCTTTTTTCTTAGTCTGTCGAGCCAAACACGCGAGAGACAAAAATGACCACGCGTGTGGCTGAGGGCGATACATTATAGAGCGTTTTCACGTGACGTCACGGCAGCCATGTTGGTGTCCTAAACCAGTCCTGTGGGAGTTGAACTCTTTTCTTATGTAAACGCTTTCTTTTGTTCCAATAAATTTGCATAGATGCTGGTCACGTCAGTCGTATTTCTTACAACTGACGCATAAGTAATTGTGACGTCATAGAAAAGATATAGTTGACAATAACAAGGTGTAGAATTTCTCAATAAGTATCCTAAACTAATAGTCTCTGTGTCTTTACATACCGTGGTTAAGAAGAAGGCTAGCAGCATACAAATTGTTTGACTGAGTGGCGTAAAACAGTGGCGAGCACAGGTCATCATTCATAGCATCGACATCAGCGTTAAACGAGAGCAACAGCTCCAAGAGATCCGAAGCATTCACCAAGCCAGCGGTGAGATGTAAAGCCCTGGAAAACGAAAAAAAAGGGCTGAAGACACTTGTCTGCAAGGCCAGGCTCCTGTATTCTTGCATTGTGTCAGGGGTGTTTGTATTTAAAAAAAATTCCGGTATATGTGACTTCAAAAATCGCAGATATACCTTTCGTTCCTCAACAAGAAAGTAAATAATGACAGAAACAAAAACAATTCTTACGTGTTTCCTCAAGGGTATGTTGGGTTAACGGAAGCACCTTTTCCCAATAGAAATCGCACAGTCTCGACACGATTGCCGCTGAAAACCAATACAATAAGACCGTAAAATATTCAATAACTTAACGCACGCATCCTTTCCCGTTTTCGCCTAAGTGATAATGCGAGCATTTATAATTTAAGTATTAGGATTTAAGGTCTACACCACTGCAATGGTCGCAAACCGCTCAAGTTTCAAATCTATCCAGCAGTATCTTTAGTTATGTACCAACTGCTTGTATTTCTGCTTGTAGCAAGCCCAATCAACCCAATAATCTCAGTCATCGCAGTCATCCCTAGTCCTCCCCAATCATGCCTAACCATCCCATTCATCCCTCCTCATCCCTACTCATCCCTAGAAATCCCTAGTCATCATTACACATCCCTAGAAATCCCTGGTCATCCATAGACTTCCCTAGTCATCCCAGTCATCGATAGTCATCCCTAGTCATCCCTAGTCATTACAGTCATCTCTAGTCATCCAAATCATCCCTAGTCATCCAAGTCATCCCTAGTCATCCCAAATATCCCAGTCAACCCTAGTAATCCCTAGTCATTCCTAGTCATTATTAGTCATCCCAGGCATCCCTAGCCATCCCAGTCATCCCTGATCATCTCTAGTCATCCGTAGTCATCCCAGCCATCCCTAGTCATCCCAGCCATCCCTAGTCATCCCTAGTCATCCAAATCGTAACTAGTAATCCCTACTCATCCCTAGTCAGCCCAGTCATCCCTAGTCATACCTGGTAATCCCACGTCATCCCTAGTCATGCCCAATTATCCCTAGTCATCCCAGTCATCCCTAGTCATATCTAGTTATCCCAGTAATGCCTAGTCATGCCTAGTCATCCCTAGTCATCACTAGTCATCCCAGTAATCCCTACTCATTGCAGTCATCCCTAGTCATCCCCAGTCATCCCAGTCATCGCTAGTCAACCCAAGTCATCCCAGTCATCCCTAGTCATCCCAGTCATCCCTATTCATAAAAGTCATCTCTAGTCATCAATAGTCATCCCAGTCACCACAGTCATCCCAAGTCATCCCTAGTCATCCCAAGTCATCCCTAGTCATCCCAGTCATCCCTAGTCATCCCAAGTCATCCCAGTCATCCCTAGTCATCCCTAGTCTTCCCTAGTCATCCTTAGTCATCCTAGATATCCTTAGTCATCCTTTGTCCTCCCTCGTCATCCTAGTGATCCCTAGTCATCCCTAGTCATCCTAGTCATCCCTAGTCATCCCTAGTCATCCCAGTCATCCCTAGTCATCCCTAGTCATCCCAGTCATCCCTAGTCATCCCTAGTCATCCCAGTCATCCCTAGTCATCCCTAGTCATCCCAGTCATCCCTAGTCATCCCTAGTCATCCCAGTCATCCCTAGTCATCCCTAGTCATCCCAGTCATCCCTAGTCATCCCTAGTCATCCCAGTCATCCCTAGTCATCCCTAGTCATCCCAGTCATCCCTAGTCATCCCTAGTCATCCCAGTCATCCCTAGTCATCCCTAGTCATCCCAGTCATCCCTAGTCATCCCTAGTCATCCCAGTCATCCCTAGTCATCCCTAGTCATCCCAGTCATCCCTAGTCATCCCTAGTCATCCCAGTCATCCCTAGTCATCCCTAGTCATCCCAGTCATCCCTAGTCATCCCTAGTCATCCCAGTCATCCCTAGTCATCCCTAGTCATCCCAGTCATCCCTAGTCATCCCTAGTCATCCCAGTCATCCCTAGTCATCCCTAGTCATCCCAGTCATCCCTAGTCATCCCTAGTCATCCCAGTCATCCCTAGTCATCCCTAGTCATCCCAGTCATCCCTAGTCATCCCTAGTCATCCCAGTCATCCCTAGTCATCCCTAGTCATCCCAGTCATCCCTAGTCATCCCTAGTCATCCCAGTCATCCCTAGTCATCCCTAGTCATCCCAGTCATCCCTAGTCATCCCTAGTCATCCCTAGTCATCCCTAGTCATCCCTAGTCATCCCTAGTCATCCCAGTCATCCCTAGTCATCCCTAGTCATCCCTAGTCATCCCTAGTCATCCCTAGTCATCCCAGTCATCCCTAGTCATCCCTAGTCATCCCTAGTCATCCCAGTCATCCCTAGTCATCCCTAGTCATCCCAGTCATCCCTAGTCATCCCTAGTCATCCCAGTCATCCCTAGTCATCCCTAGTCATCCCAGTCATCCCTAGTCATCCCTAGTCATCCCAGTCATCCCTAGTCATCCCTAGTCATCCCAGTCATCCCTAGTCATCCCTAGTCATCCCAGTCATCCCTAGTCATCCCTAGTCATCCCAGTCATCCCTAGTCATCCCTAGTCATCCCAGTCATCCCTAGTCATCCCTAGTCATCCCAGTCATCCCTAGTCATCCCTAGTCATCCCAGTCATCCCTAGTCATCCCTAGTCATCCCAGTCATCCCTAGTCATCCCTAGTCATCCCAGTCATCCCTAGTCATCCCTAGTCATCCCAGTCATCCCTAGTCATCCCTAGTCATCCCAGTCATCCCTAGTCATCCCTAGTCATCCCAGTCATCCCTAGTCATCCCTAGTCATCCCAGTCATCCCTAGTCATCCCTAGTCATCCCAGTCATCCCTAGTCATCCCTAGTCATCCCAGTCATCCCTAGTCATCCCTAGTCATCCCAGTCATCCCTAGTCATCCCTAGTCATCCCAGTCATCCCTAGTCATCCCTAGTCATCCCAGTCATCCCTAGTCATCCCTAGTCATCCCAGTCATCCCTAGTCATCCCTAGTCATCCCAGTCATCCCTAGTCATCCCTAGTCATCCCAGTCATCCCTAGTCATCCCTAGTCATCCCAGTCATCCCTAGTCATCCCTAGTCATCCCAGTCATCCCTAGTCATCCCTAGTCATCCCAGTCATCCCTAGTCATCCCTAGTCATCCCAGTCATCCCTAGTCATCCCTAGTCATCCCAGTCATCCCTAGTCATCCCTAGTCATCCCAGTCATCCCTAGTCATCCCTAGTCATCCCAGTCATCCCTAGTCATCCCTAGTCATCCCAG